CTAAGGTCTCTTCTAATAATGTTCCCAGATTATTACTTTATTAAATTTAGACAACAACAAAAAAATTAGTGGCAAATGGTAATTTCCGCCCCCAAAATAGGCATACTCTTCCTAAGAAACCACTGTACACAAAAATTTTGTCTCTCTCAAGGTTATATGCTAATGCCTTCCCATTACATATGGTGCTTATGGTCAAAATCTATAAATATACTCATTAGCCTTCTTTCCTAATTTTTCAACATTTTTCTACAAACTTTATGTATTTTATTATAGCACAAATGTTATATACCCTTCCTTATTACTCATTTTAGCGTTTAAATACCTTTGGTGCCTAACTTGGCCCCCAACTGTTTTCCAGTTCAGAACCTCCTATGGGGAAGGCAGGGTAGACTACTGCTTAAGTAGTACACTGATTTATAGCAGCTGGAGATAGTCTCCAAGGCTCCTAATGTCCCTTGTTTACCAGTTCTAGAAAATTTTTTATAAAGACTAACACTGAATACAAACAGGAAAAATGTTTGACTTTAAATTTATAATAATCAACTGATTTTTGAAAAATTTATCATGTGAAATCTTTTAAAACTGTAAAATATAATAAAAATAGTTTTTAAAGTATAAAAAAGCATAATAATAATTTTTAACCATTAAAAGTAAGGCACTCAGCATCTGACATGGGAGGTGATGAAAACAAATAGCAAAAAGGGGGCAGAATAGACACCTGTGTGATGGGGGCTTTGGAGGAGACATGAAAAATATATACATTGAGGGCCCTGACAATAATCTTTGACTAAGAAACCAATTTGCCTAGGAGATGAATAGTTAGATGGATAGATAGAGATAATCTTCTAGGAAAATTGGCAAATATATATATATATGATATGATGTTATATCACATCATATACCCTTTGGATGGCAGTAGGAAATTTGGAGAACTTTTTTTGGGGCATTAGAAATCACAGTGTATGACACAAAAATAGACACAGAGATCAATAGAACAGAATAGAGAACCCAGAAATGAACACACAACTATATGGTCAATTAATCTTTAACGAAGCAGGAAAGGATATCAGTAGGAAAGACAATCAATAGGAAAGACCGTCTCTTCAACAAATGGTGTTGGGAAACCTGGACAGCCCATGCAGAAGAATGAAACTGGACGACTTTCTTAAACCGTACAGAAAAATAAATTCAAATGGATTAAAGACCTAAATGTGAGACAGAAACCATGAAAATCCTAGAGGAAAACACAGGCAGTAACCTCTTTGACACACCGGCCATAGCACCTTCTTACTAGGTAGGTCTCCTAAGGCAAGGGAAACAAAAGCAAAAATAAACTATTGGGACCTTATCAAAATAAAAAGCTTCTGCACCGTGAAGGAAACAATCAACAAAACTAAAAGTCAACCTATGGAATGGGAGAAGATATTTGCAAATGACCTATCTAATGAAGGGTTATTAGTATCAAAATATATAAAGAACTTACAAAACTCAACACCCCCCCAAATAATCTAATTAAAAAATTTCTCCAACAGACACATGAAAAGAGGCTCAAAATCACTCATCATCAGGGAATGCAAATCAAAACTACAATGAGATATCACCGCACACCTGTCAGAATGGCTAAAATGAACAACATAAGAAACAGCAGGTGTTGGCGAGGATGTAGAGAAAGGGGAACCCTCTTGTACTGTTGGTGGAAATGCAAACTGGTGCAGCCACTCTGGAAAACAGTATGGAGCTTCCTCATAAAGCTAAAAATAGAACTACCCTATGATGCAGCAATTGCACTACTACGTATTTACCCAAAGAATACAAAAATACTAAATCGAAGGGATACATGCACCCTAATTATTTATGGCAGCATTATCAACAATAGCCACATTATGGAAAGAGCCCAAATGTCCACTGACTGATGAATGGATAAAGAAGATGTGGTATATACATACAATGGCATATTGCTCAGCCATAAAAAGAATGAAATCTTGCCATTTGCAATGATATGGATGGAGCTAGAGTGTATAATGCTAAGTGAAATAAGTCTGAGAAAGACAAATACCATGTGATTTCACTCTTATGTGGAATTTAAGAAACAAAACAAATGATCCTAGGGGAAAAAAAAACAATAGACTCTTAACTATAAAGAACAAAGTGATTGTTACCAGAAGGGAGGTAGGTGGGGGGATGGGTTAAATAGGTGGTGGGGATTAGGAGGGCACTTGTTGTGATGAGCACCAGGTGTTGTATGGAAGGGTTAAATTACTATATTGTACACCTGAAACCAATATTACACTGTGTTAACTAATTGGGATTTAAATAAAAATTTAAAAAAAAGAAATCACAGTGCACTATTTAGATAACAATCTAACCTGCTTTTCCCAAAAGATATTCTGAATAGGAAAATAAGTTGGGGCCAAGTTAGACACCAAAGGGTTTAAATGCTAAAATGAGCAATGAGAAAGATTACACACACACACACACACACACACACACACACGCATGCATGTATATGTATACGTAAATATACACATGTATACATATGTATATTACCCAAATTATAGAAGTATCATTCATTATTCATGAAGGTAATATTTATGACTGTCCACTCTATGTGAGGTGCCATTCTCCACCCTGGGGTTTTATCAGTAAACAAAACAGAGAGGTTACATTCTAGTGGGAGTATATTGTCAGATTAGATTTTACTGACCATAGCACTTAGCACACAGGATATGCTTACCTCTTCTGACTATAATGTGGGATGTTATCTGTATCAGTCAGTGTTTGGTAAGAGGAGAACAGTCCCTTGAGTATTATGGGAAGAACGGACTTCTAGAATTGAGCTCGCACAGTTATGAAGAGCTGGTGGTGTAGTTGGGGCCACTTGCCAGTCAGGCTGAGAAAGTCAGAGTCCAGGCTAAGAAGGGGAGCCACGGGAAGGGTGCCGGGAAGCCGTGGCCTTTGTGCAGCAGTTGCCTCGCTGGTTTCAGTCAGCTTCCGGTGGTGGGACTGGGGCAGCTGCTGGTCAGCAGTTGGGAAGAGGAGCTGGGCATGGACAACCTAGAACCGGTTGTGCACCCGTGTGTCTGCCCGTCTCTGATCTGACTGTGACGACCAGCCGAGAGTACGGGCCGCTCCATCACTTCTGCCATTCAGCGTCCCGCAGCCTAACCAGGGTGACGCGGCCCAGAACCCCACACCTGCCATCATGGCGAAAATATGGTGTGCCAACAGATTCTAGGGTGGTCCTCATGATTCCTGCCTCTGAGTGTCCACACCTTTGTAGAACGCCCTCCACCTGGTGCAGGTGGCACCTGTGACTTGCTTCTATTCAACAGAACACAGCAAAGGTGATGAATATCACCTTTGTGTGAACGTGATTATGTTACATTCCATAAGGCTCAGTCTTGAGCAGACTGGAGCTAGAGAGACTCTCCAGCTGGCCCTGAAGAAGCAAAAACCATGTTGTAAACTGCCTATGGAGAGTGTGCCTTGGAAGGAGTAGCACAGCGTGAAAGAAAAACCAACCCACAGGTCTCACCAGTACTCACCGCCAGCTTCTGGTTGTACCTTTCCTTGTCCCACCCTGGTACAAGGCTTCTCAGTCTCGGTGCTGTGGACACCGCAGGCTGGAGAACTTTGTGTGTGGGGAGCCGTTCTGTGCATTGCAAAAGATTTAGCAGCATCTCTGGCCTCGACAAACTAAACACTATTATCATTCGCCACTCTCCCCGCCCCCCCCCCGTTACTGCAACCAAAAATGTTTCCAAACATTGCCAAATGTACCCTGAGGAGTAAAATTGCTCTGTTTGAGAACTGCTATTCCAGTATAAGAGCTAGCGTAGCACTGAGTGCAGTGTGGCCAAAGGGAAATCTTTAAAAAGAGAAAGATAAGTCTTGGGCACAGTTAATTTGCACACTAGAAAAATCTATTTTCTAAGCACACCCCCCCAAAAGTCAAAGCTGGTGTTTGCAGTCCTAGGTTCAATGGCTTTTTCATCTTGCTTGCCAGCTAATAATGAAGAAAGTGCTCATGTGAACACATTACAGGTAGAAGTTCTTTGGAAAACAAGACTATATTTCAACCAATTCGTGCAGGATTTGACTTAACCATTAAATAGCACGGTGTAGATATAAATCCTGTTCAAACAGCTCCTATCCTGCAGGAGAATCTATGAAAAGACAGACCTTGAGAAATGCTTCATAAGTGACTAAATATACAGTGGATCTTTCTGAAATATTTGCTTGAAGTCCCAGAATCTGTTCTCATCATTTTGGCAGAAGCTGCCATGCTGTTAAATTATTCTGGCCCAAGTGATGGTATAGGATATTAATGCTAAATATGAAATCCTATAAGCGGCACCAATTAAGCACAGAATTATTTTGAAACAGATAATCCGAGACACAGTGCTACTAGGATAACAAGTCCTCTGGTAACAGAGCTTTTATTTAAAAATAAAATTGGCCAAAATATGAATGAATGAGTGAATGAATTAGTTCTCACAACCTGTCTTTATTGAAAAACAACTACGCATCAGGCACTGCTGTCATTTCTAGAGACATAATAGGTAAGGGGAGAGATTTAGTGACTGGGGTTACAGAAATGATAAGGCTCCTTGTTTAATAGAAGAGGCAGAAGAATAGTTGCATAAACAGGTGCAGTGTTATAACAATGTTATGCGCAGGGCCCTGTGGGAGCAGAGAGAGAAGGCACCTAACTCAGCAGGGAGATCAGTGAAGCTTCCCATCAGAAGCGAAGGATTCGTTTGCATCTGCCACGTGAAAAAACTAGAAAAGTGTGCCGCAAGCAGAAAGAACAACAGGCATGAACTTGAAAACTGTGATCCAGGGAAGACCAAAGGAGGGAACAGGTGAGCAAGTGGTAGGAAATGAGGCTGGATGGGGAGGAGGGGCCAGGTGACAATTGGCCTTTTATGACATGCTAAGAAATTTTAACTATGTCCTCAAGGTGGTGGGTACCGCTTGGATTTCAGGCAGGGCTGTGACATGGTGGAAATCTGCATTCCTGGAAGGGCTGGCTTCTGCTCTTCTAGTCCACGGAGCATGGCCTAGACTTGGACAAATCCCGAGTTAGGAAGACCAATGGGAAGCAAGGGCACAAGCAGTGTTAAAGGTGTTCATGAAAGCTTGCATTGACACAGCAAGGATGGAGAAGAGAGGACAGGGGATTTGGGTAAGTTCTCACCTCCTGGTGTTGGGTCTATAAAGGCTCTCAGGGCCTGCCTCTCAGAAAGGGAAGAAAAGCAGAAAGAAGTAACCTGCTTGGATTCTGCAGGAGGCGATGCACATCTAGAACACATTCCTAAATGTCTCAAATAATTACTATTACTATCATAGTCATATGATTTAGAGTGTAAGTTTACTAATCCCAGAAGAAAAGATGTCATTTGGAACACATATTCATTAAAAAGGAATTCTCATGCTTTACAAATCTGTCTGTGATTGTCAAATCTTGCCTTTAGTATCTCTGAGGAAGATCATCCGAGTAGATGTGCGTGTAAACCTCACTTCATTTTTCTCTCCTAAGTCTACTCTGTAGACATCACTCAGTACAGCAAACAATAAGTAATCTGTTTTATACATTTGTGCCAAATAAAAACTGCTAGATTCAATTATATTTCAAGTGGCAGAGCAATAACCCATAAAAACGGAAAGTAGCAAGATGTTCAGACTAGGTACGTAAACACAACTTTTCAGGAATATATTTATTGTGGATGTCAAGCACTCTTCCGCTATAATAAAAATGTTGTTTAGCTATGTCATGCTACTGACTTGGCACCTGTTTGTAATTTAAAGCAAAGACTTATGCCTCACCCGTTTCAGGCCCAACAAATGGGCTAATTTTAAAATGATGGGAAGCAGAGATAGAATGTGATAACTTCACTCATATAAACGTAGCCTGGACTGACTCAACAATTTAGAGTTGACTTGCCCAGAAACCTCTAGAACAGTATTTATTAACACCTAAATCATTTAAAGTGGAGTGAACTGTAGATTAAGTCTGAACTAGCAGAATTGCTACAGTTGTTTCTATTTTCAAGTTATCTAGGCTGATCTAAAGTTTAAATACATTTTCAAGCTTAATTAAATGAAACACTTAAATTATACAAGCATTTAATACTTAATTGGAAATTGAAAAACAGATACCATGAAATCCCTAGGTAAAAAGAAAAATGAAGCAACATCTGCTAGTCCCATTTCTCTATCACTTGGGGATGAATGTGTTTATAAAGACCCACATTTTAAAATAACCAAATGCCTCTGAAATGATTTTAACCTTTGGCACAGTATTGCTGATCAATGGAAAGGCCTGGAGACCCTTGCAGAGCTGTTACCAAAGAATGTTTCACGGGGCATCAGGATGGCTCAGCACCAACCACAGGCATTCTGAGGGTCACCTCTTGGAACTTGGAAATTCTGGAAAGGTAGGAGAGAACCCAGTTCCTGATCACAGCTATTCCTGGATCCAAACAGTGCTTATTCTTTTGGTATGAATTTTATAGTAGTGATCCATTTATGAAAACTTTCTCCCTGACATTTAGCAGTGCTATTTTATAGTAATGAAAAAGGAAAGTGATTTTTAATAAGTAATGGAAAAATTATAGCACAGCATCTTACATAGACTCAACACACATTGCTGAATGAATTAATAAGTGCGATCACCCTTCCCCCCAAAATAGAGCCAAAGAAACAGAACTCACAAACGGTCAAAAGCCTTAAAGGTCATCCACCTTGGCATCTCATGACACCACACACACCCCGTTTTAAAGATGAATAAACTGAGACCCAAGGATTTAAATAATTTGCCCAAGGTCATGAAGTTAATTTAGTAGTGATAACTAGAGCTACAACACAAATAGAGGATGTTATTCATTTATTTGCTCACTCATTAGAGTCTGCTAACTTATTTATCTTTGTGTATCCTAGAGCCTCCCTTTTGCCTGCACATTATAGGTACTCCATAAATACTTGTGAAATTAATTCATTATTTTATTTATTCACTCATTCATTCATATCATCTGTGTCAGAATACCTACTCTGTTCCAGACATCAGTATATCATCATTAGATCATTTTCTCCTTCAAATAAAATGTATTAGAATCAAATACATATGTTTGTTTCTTGAGTAAACATTAATATTCCTATGTCAGATCATATCATCAGCCTGTCCAGTACTACACTCTCCCTTCAGCAGGATTCTCTGGGGTTCTTGTGGGAGAGTTGAATCTCCCCATCCCAAAGCTTACTTAGCCCATTATGCAATGCTGCACATGACCATGGGTTCTCAACTGACTGAATAGCCCGGGCTGTCGGTTAATATTCTGTTTCATGAGATCTGACTACCCTCGTCATGGTACTTTACATAACCGTAGATGTTCCCTGGTAACAGCAATAGAATTCAGCTCTTTCAAAATTGTCCTAACATTGACTTCAGGAACAACTCACTAAATTCTATGGGGATCATAAAATAGAATGCTTCTGTTCACCTTACGTTATTTATGACATGTGCTCTTTGACATCATTTTTTTCTTTTCTCCACCTTACTTTTTTAATTTGGTAAGTTTTCACCCCTGCCCAGTTTCCATCATTCAAAGATCAGATTAGCCTAATTTATAAACACTTTATCATTACACACATCCTTGCTTAAGGCAACAAAGTTTTTATTTCAAACATTACTAAACACTCGTCATGTGGCATTATAGCATTTCATGCTGGAGCCCCATGAGATTATTACAAGCAATGCCTTGAGTCACATGCTTTATACAGATTAACTTGCTATATCAAATATAGCTTAAAACATTCTAAAAAAGAATTCTAGATGATTCAAGATGACATCGATCACTATATTTTATTTCCTATTAACCAGTGGCTCTCAAACTTAAGTGTGCATGAGAATCACCTGGAGGGTTTAGGGGCACCTGGGTGGCTCAGCAGTTAAGCTTCTGACTCTTGATTTTGGCTCAGGTCATGATCTCAGGATCACAGGATTGAGCCCTGCACCAGGCTCTGTGCTCAGCAGGGAGTCTGCTTCAGATTCTCTCTCTCCCTCTTCCTCTACCCCCTCTAAAATAAATAAATAAATCTTAAAAAAAAAAAAATCTCTTGGAGGGCTTGTTAAAACACATATTTCCAGGAGTGCCTGGGTGACTCAGTTGGCTAAGCTTCTGCCTTTGGCTCAGGTCATGATCCCAGGGTCCTAGGATCAAGCCCCGTATCAGGCTCCCTGCTCATTGGGGAGCCTGCTTCGCCCTCCATTCGTGCTCTCTCTCACCCAATCTCTCTAATAAATAAATAAAATCTTACACACACACACACACACACACACACACACACACACACACACACACCTTGCCAGGTGGAAGCAACCCAAGTATCCATGAATGGACAGACAAAATGTGGCATATACATACAAAGGAATATTAATTAGTCTTAAAAAGGAAGGAAATTCTGACACCTGCTATCACATGGTTGAAACTTGAGGGCATCATGCTAAGCCAATCACAAAAAGACAAATACTGTAAAATCCCGCTAATATGAGGGGCATGGGACTGTCCAATTCATAGAGACAGAAAGTAGAATGGTGGCCTCCAGGGGCTGAGGAGAGATAAAATGGAGAGTTGTTGTTCAATGTGTTTAGAGTTTCAGTTTTACAAGATGAAAAGAGCTCTGGAAATGTATGGTAGTGATGGTTACACAACAATGTGAATGTATTTAACACTATTGAATTGTACACTTGAAAATGATTAAGATGGCAAATTTAATGTATGTGTATTTTACTTGAATTACACACACACACACACACACACACACACAAAATGCCCAGATTGCCAGACTCTACACCAAATTACTGCTATAGTGGGTCTGAGGTGGAGTCTGAGAATTTACATTGCTAATAAGTTCTTAGGTGGTTCTAATGCTGCTGGTTTGGGGTCTACATCCTGAGAGCCATGATGATGAACAAAGTTGGTGACAGCTCCAGAATCTCTATATAAAAGGAGTTTATGGGTAACAATCTGGTTGGAAGAAGGATAAGGTGATTTGCCTTTCCAGTGGCAAGCATGCTGCCTTTTTATTGCATGGTTATTTGCAGAAGCTATAATGGGAGAGCTGAAGAAATGAGGACCAGCCCCCCTTGCCCAGAGCCACCTCTTGGTGACAAGCCATACCTAGCTTATTGCTCAGGGCAGCTCAAATATCCTAACTATAAAGGGGAAAACTTAAAAACCTGACATTTTTGCACTTAACAGATACATTCTCCTTTTATAATCTTTTAATTGGAAAAAGAACAAGTAGACATTTTTGAAAGTGTACAGAAAAATATGAAACGTTGATCAAGTGAAGAGCCATATATTGAATACCTGCTATCAAGAGAACAGATATTTATTGTTGTGTGCAAATTAAGCATGAAGCAATGTGATAACCCCTATCAAATTAAAATTTGTAATACTCCCTGGGGTGTGATAGAATAGCAGTCTCATCAGCCACTGTTGAGAATGTAGACAACTACAAACACCCTGTAAAGATTTGACCATGTATGTCAAGTATCTATAACCTTGCACTCAGTAATCCCACTTACAGAGATATACCTTAAAGAAATAACAGTGTTGAACATAAGAATATTTATCACAACATAATATATACCAGCAAGACCTGGAAACAACCTAAATGTGAAAGTGGAGACTAGTGAGGGGCGAAATTGATTACAGTGTATCCAGACAACAGAATTTGCAGCTGCAGATGATTCCTGTTCTTTGGGGGCTGCTCCACCACCTCTCCTTTGGGGACTTCAGCTTCCTTTATTCTGTTTGTCTCTGATGGTACTGTCAATCAAGAGACACCCCTCCCCCACCTACACACCCACTTCTAACATAGGAGAACTGTTCAAGTGTTCACAACTCATTCAGGGCCAGAATCCTTTCGGAAGTTTGGGGGAGAGATATGAGTGCTTGACAAGAGAAGTTCTCTTGCCTTGTGAGGTTGCAAGCTGTAAAAGCAATGAGAAACAAGCCCTGAGCCTGCCAATAAAGCAGCCAACACTGAGGTAAGAAGAGGTGACAGGGAGGAGCATTCTTATCACCATTATGTGAGTCCCTGGATCCCACTGAACCTGAAGGTAGCAGGACTGCCTTTGGATTTCCCAGTCATATGAATCAATAAATGCCTCACTTTTTTTCCTTAAACTCACAACTAAAAGATTCTTGATTTATGTGCTATCACTACAACCATATTTTATATGAATATATAAGAATACATATCACATGGACTCAATTTAAATATATACATATTTGAGGAATATTGAAATGCTTATGAGGTTATAGCATTATAGATCAAAAATTTTACTTTCAAAGATACTTCACTTTAACAAAATTTGTTAGTGTCTTACATCTTGGCTACTGAATACTCTAAGAGAGAAAGTCTATTGCATAAAATATAGGTGCATGTTTCACAGATCACTTGTGGGAATGTAAAATGGCATAATCCTGATGGAGAGAAATTTGTCAATATCTAACAGAATTACATATGCATTTACTTTTGAACAGCCACACCAACTCTAAGACTCTATCCCAAGGTACATATGCACAAAACTATTAATTGCAGTATATTTATAAGAAATGTTTAGAAACAACCTAACTGTCCATCAATAAGGCACTGATTGAATAAACTAAGGCACAGCCACACAACTGAATACAGTACAGATGTAAAAAGAAATAAGATCTTATTATACTATATTACACAGAGATCCCCACGATATATAATTTAAGTGAAAAAAGCAATGTGCAAAACAGAAAACAGTATATATAGCGTTACGCTTTGTGTGATAAAGTGGTATATGTATATATATATTTTTTCCATTTTTGCAAAGCTAAGTAATGGAAGAATAAGCCAGAAACTAGTACAAATAATTAGTCATCAGGGAAAGCACAATAAAAGCACAGTGAGACACTTACCAGAAGGGATAATATTACTAAGACAGAAATTATCAAGTGTTGGCAAGGATGAGGAACAAATGAAACTTTTGTACATTACTGGAAGAAGCGTAAATTGGAACATCCACTTATAGAAACTCTTTGGCAATATCTACTAGAGCCTGAACACACACACATAACATATGACCCAGCAATTCTACTCCTGGGAATGTACCCACCAGAAATACATATGTACATGGAAAGACACATACGAGAATGTTCTAAGAAGCACTGTTGGTTAAAGCCCCAAACTAGAAACCCTTACCTCCATCAACAGCAGAATGGATAAATTACGGTATGCTATATATGCAATACAGTAGAATACATTAACAGCAATGAAAAAGAGTGAACCCTTCTATTTTATACAGCAATGTGGATGCATCTCATAAATAGGCTGTTGAATGAAAGAAGTGTAACACAAAAGAATGCATACTGTATTATTCCACCTATATATAATCCTACATCTGGCAAAATTAATCTATAGTGTCTGAAGTCAGAACTGTTGTCTCTGGGAACAAGAGTGGCATAGAGTCAGAGGGGCAAAGGACAATTTATGGGATGCTAGAAGCTTTCTATTTCTGCATCGGGGTGGTGGGTACATGGGTGTTTTCAGCTTACAGGAGTTCGTGAAGCAGCATGCTCCCTCTGAAGGGAGGGGGAGAACAGGTGGAGAAGACGGGAGGCAAAGTCAGACTCTTCTGGATCTACCTCGTTATACAGTTTTGGCTTTGGAATCATGTACATGTTTTATGTAGTCAAAAGACGAATTTAATAGAAAGACGAGAATGTATAGGTGCATGTGTTAAATGGAGGTAATTAAAACTATGTTTTGCCAGGTGTTAAATTCCAATGATGAATGTCTATACATATATTTTTTTTCTTTTTTTCTTCTAAGGGTACTCTGTAGCAGGCTGTTCTTTCAGGATTTAACGTAAGTCTGAAGATGGACAAAGCCGAGTCCTCTGAAATGCTAGAATGATAATTCTAGGTTGGTCTAACAGCTTGAAAAGGATCGTGAATACTAAAAACTCAAAAGCTCCAGCCGTAGGGAAACAAAGAAAGACAGAAAGAGGAACAGCTGGAAAAGCGCTCACTATTATCCAGAACAAACAGAGGTACTGTGGTTAGGCACGTACCAACCTAATGGCCTTTGGAATAAATGCCCACACAGAGCCCCCACTCACTTGGCCCCGGGCTCAGGCCATTTTTCAGAACGTTTAATGCTGACAACTGCAGAACTGTGCAAAATGTGAGTGAAAAAGATGGTCAGGGGATTCACAAATGTTTTTTTTTTATCATGAACTTTAGCTGCTGCTTCTAACTACTTCACGCCAAACATTTTCCCAAATGGTCCCAATGGAAAATGTCCCCTGATGGAGGATGAAAGATAATGGGAAGAAGCCTAGAATTCTCATCTTGGGGAGAGGCAAGAAATGTAATTATACAGGTATATACAGTGAGCAATTTGGATCTAATCTGTAGAGAAGTCTGACCCTACCCCCATGGATATTACACCATAAATGGGATCGGGAGTTTGAGCATCCCTTTAGTTAGAGGGTTCAAATTCAGTTCTGTACTTTACTAATTTTGTGACCTTGGCTATGTTCCTTAATCCCCTTGGACCTCAACTTTCTTCATCTGTAAAATGATAAGAAACCCTATTGAACTGTTCTAAGTTTAGATCGGATAAGGCACACGGAGTTTCTAGCACAGGGTGTTTAAGACACGCGAACATTACCATGTTACCACACTATATCTTCTCTTTATGCCTTACTAACTAAAAAAATAAGTAAAACAAGGAGTGGAATGGAGTCACACTTATTCACCACCTCCTGTTCGTTAGATGCTTCAGCAAGCATTTAAATAGTATAAGATTTTATTTATTTTATTACATCTTTACAAAACCCTTATGAGGTTACAAAGGAGGAAATGCTGTTCAATGTCACAAGGCCAATAAGGGGCAGAATGAGGTTTTGAGCCCACAGTCCTCTGACTCCAGAAATTATTTTTTCTGTGTCTACAAGGAAGCAATCATCAGGATGAAAAAAGAACATCAGGAAGAAAGTCAGTGACTGCCAGGAAAGCATTCATCAGTCATTCATAAAGTAGCTCCCACACACACAGTAAGAACTAAGTGAAAGGGCTAACTCCCTCTTAGAACGGACAGAGACAGTTATCTTTGGGAGATGGAGGCGGGCTGGAATTGATACAGTGTGGGCAAATCAGAGGTGGTGGCCTCGAGAACTGTGCCTGGCACAATAAAAAAGTAAAGGAAGACATTTAACACAGAGAAAAGGGTCCTCAGTCATTACCAGTCCTCTGGGTGAAGCTGAGGTCAGCACTTAAGGGGTCAAGGCAAACAGGAGGACTTGGGCCAAAGAACATATGTTCTAAACCAAAGCCAGGGATCATAGAATAAAATATTAAAATTGTCTTGAAAAATCCAGGCAAGACTAACCGTTCCTATAGACATAAGCAAAAGGCTGGGCAGGGCTCATAAGTGGAGGAGGAGAATACGCATAAGGCATGGACCACTGCAGTTCAGATGGGGCATCACAATAAACCGGGAGGGAGGGAAATATGGACTAAGCAGGGAGACACCGTCAATTTCACCTGTGAATCCCAAGACAGTGGCTGTTCCCTACCATATCCGGTTTTAGCTAATTAAGCTAAGAAGAGTAGGTATTTTCTGGATCACATTATAAAATGTACTATTTACTAGGAGCCCTGAAACCTTGTTTTAGGGAATGTGGGACCTACCTGAAAATTATCCTGCTGTCAATGGTAGTTAGGGAAATAAGCTCCAGGTGTTGATTACGAAAGAGTTGTGGTCCAGATATGCCTCAAGGGGTGGCCACACCTCAGAAAAATCCCCGTGCTTCGTAGGTAAAGACATTTGATTGTGTTGCTCATGAAAAGATGGCCAGTATCTTAGGACTGACTCATTTATCAATTTCGAAAGAGAAATATGGCTGCATGAAGCTATTCTGATCATTCCCTCCCTGTGGGAAAAATCTGCCCGGGTAGTTGCAGAAGAAAGTGGCTTGGCACACACTGAATCAGAGAAACAGTAATTAGTTTGATAATGTAAGTGGTAGTGACATCTGGGTGTGAAAACTCTCTCTGGTGATAATAATTAAGACCAGCTAGCATTTATTGGGATCTTATTGCATGTCAGGCATTGTACTCAACACTTTATATCTCATTTAATCCTCACTCTGTGAGATTCCTCACGGCCGAGATGAGATATACCTGCCAAGCAGATGGCATATTGATGTCAATTAGTCTACCTATGGTTCTCGTAAACACATGCCAACAAATTTTCTCTCTGATTCCACTGTACCAAACTCCACTAACCCTGCTTGCTAATGCTGTGTGCCCACCCTTGCCTGAACAACACTCCTGAGGTTAGCAAGGCGCACCAGCAGGCATGTAAACTACAGAATAACATGGAAAATTTTCCAAAGAATCAATCTTACTTGATGGTAAACAAGTCCAAATATTTTTATGTGAAATGAACTGGATATATTATTGAAAAACAATGAAAAATTTGAATGAATTGTGAAGGACAAACCTCAAAGAAATTTCATCCTTAAAGTAAAAATCTTGAGATTTTTCTTTCAGGGCACTTGGTGGAAAAGTTTTAAAATCATAGTCTAACACAGAACAGTTTAGTAGAACTGTTCCCTGAATCATAATCACACATTTGCCAACCTTCTTACAACACTGCCTGGTTCAACTTGAGTGAATTAGGTGTTTTAAATTTCATGAGGGACGCCTGGGTGGCTCAGTCAGTTGAGCATCTGCCTTTGGCTCAGGTCATGGTCCCGAAGTCAATCCCGGGATTGAGCCCCACATTGGGCTCTCTGCTCAGTGGAGAGTCTACTTCTCCCTCTCCCTCACCGTGATCCTTCTCTCTCTCTCTGTCTCTCAAATAAATAAATAAAATCTTTTATAAATAAATAAATAAATATCATGAGCCCCATTAGCTCTTAGGTTCTGCCTATAGAGAGTGAAGTTTATCCATCAACATTTTTTTTCAAAATTAGAGTGTATTATTTCTCTGACCCAACAAGGAATGTAAGATTTGTTGTGGAAAGTTTTGAAAATCTAGAGAAACATAAAGAAAAATATTTAAGTGCCTTAAGCTCATCAATAGGAAATAAGACTGTCAACATTCTGACTGTCAAATATTGTTGAGTGTCTGCTATGTGTCCAGTTACTATTCTAAGTTTTGAGGCTACGTTGTGTATTAGACAGTCAAAATCCCTGCCTTCAAAGACATCCTATTTCTTCATTCTTATAGTTATATTATGATAGAGAGATATACAAACACACATGTATATTTTTATGAGACTTGAATACTACTACACATATTCTTTTATTAGTTGACTTTTTATTTAACAATGTTATAAACATGAGTTTATTTTATTACACATTCATCCACACTATAGTTTTTAAAAGCTGCAGAGTAATTTATTTTAGAGACATGCTCTATATTATCTAATAAACCTACATCTTATTGTTGGGAGTTTAGGTTGTTTTCAGTTTTTGTTCTTATAAACACACTAAGACTAACATTTCTATAGACACATTTTTGTGTGTGTGTATATGGTTATTTCCTTTGGATGAATTCTTTTCAGATCAACGTGATCCTCTTTATGGGTCAAAGATCATGCATATTTTCAAGACTTTCGGTGCGTCACCAAATTATTCCCCAGAAAGATTTATACCGGCTTCTATTTCTAAAAGCAGTTTATGATAATGTCTATTTTCCCAAACCATCAACAACATTAGGTATTTATTATTAAGATTTTTAAACCAACTTGTAGATGAAAATTGGTTTCTTGTTTTAATTTGCTTTTCTGATTTCTCTTGCGGTTAAGCATTCATTGGTCTCTGTAGTTCATCTTTGGTGAATTGCCTTTTCATGGCTATGGCCCTCTTTCTATTGGGTAGTTCTCTTTTTCTCTCTTATCTAAGGGCTTCTTTTCTTTTAAATAAAATATATGATGACTTATTGTCTGCCACATACGATACTGCTAATTTTCAGTTTATAACTTGCATTTTATTTACTGAGTTTGACTTTGAGGAGTTTTTAAATTTTATGTGGTCATATTTATCAGTAATTTCATTTTATAACTTGTTCTGGTTTGTAGCTTAGAAAGGCCTCTCCCAGGGATGCCTGAGTGGCTCAGTCGGTTAAGCGTCTGCCTTCAGCTCAGGTCATGATCCCAAGGTCCTGGGATCGAGCCCCACATCAGGCTCCCTGCTCCACGGGAAGCCTGCTTCTCCCTCTCCCTCTGCCTGCCGCCCCCCCTTCTTGTGCTCTCTCTCTCTTTCTGTCAAATAAATAAATAAAATCTTAAAAAAAAAGAAAGAAAACCCTCTCCCACGTTAACATCTGTTACCTTTCCATTCTTTCTAACTTTAAAGAATAACATCACAAAATGTATTGGACACATTCTGAATATCTCCCAGATTTGAGAGAAGCAATATGATCCTTCAATTTTCAGCAGAAACTGGGGGGGGGGCGGGGGGTTAACGACAGAGAGGAGGGGCAAGTCGTGCTCTGAGGAGGGCATGTTACTGTCTTTTCTCTCCAGAAAGCAACTGGACTCTAATCCAGTGGCCTTGGGTAGGGCCCCAAGAATTTGCATTTCCAACAAGTTCTAAGATGAGGCTTGAGGCTGCTCTAGTATATAACAGTAGATGAGAACACTGGAATTCCTTAATGTAACAACCAATTTAAAGGATGTATTCCTCTTTTTCTAATGTAATAACTTGCACTAATCTGACACATGAAGATAAATTTAGGAGTCTGAGCAAAGTTTCTCTACTGTGCCTGTCCCCACTCAGCAATGGCCACTCAATACCTAGCCAAGTGAGGAAGACTGTGTCCAGACCCTGAGTTTTCAGATCTCCATGGCTCCCTACACACCCAAGATGCTCCTGAAGTCATTGGCCCAGGTCTGGTTCTGCTGGAGTGCTGGGAGAGGGTCCATTCTTTCCTGCTTCAGTAACTACTTTGTAGATAACCTCTGTGATGAATGGAATGTCAGACTCTCCTCTGAGCTAGAAAGTGTTTTTGGTTTTCTTTTTCTTTTTAAGTAGCAAACCAAATTCCCACTTCTGAGATTTATATTTATTTTCAAACTAAGAAATTATAACAAGTCAGACCTTAAAGCCAATTAATATCACCATTCCTC